GGAATTTCTCCTGTAGAGTCGAGATCAGCTTTGCCGCCGGCTGATTCAATTTTGCAGGACTTGGCCCGGTTGATGGTGCACTTTTCAAAATGCAGTTAAGTGGCACGTCCCGGAGGCCGAATTTCTCGATCCAGTCGAGACCAAGTAGGTTGAGGTTCGGACAATTGGTGACGTAGCTCTTTCCTTTGAATAGGCTGTCATCAAACGAAACGTCAACTTCAAGTTCACTCAGGAGTCGGAGAAATCCTCTGGACCCAGTCATAGCCTTTCTGTTCAATGTGATCATCGGAGGCCGAACAAGCATCTGCCAGGTGCGCTTGGAGATAAGAGTGATGTCCGAGGCTGTGTCAAGCTAAAAATATACAGGATTGCCATTGATTCTAACCGTAAAATACTTCCTCAGTGCCTCAAATTCAGTCTTGAACGGGGCTCGAGTTGAGTGACACTGTAGACCGGAGTACGATGAAGGGTTGATGGGACGCCTCGTCTTCTTATTGTCTGCCCTTGATTTGCGGGGTTGGTATGCCGGGCAGTAATTTTCCTCATGCCTTCGTCTATGGCATTTCTGACATACGTGCTTCTTGAACGGACGGAAGAGAACAAAATGCCAGTCACCACACTGCCAGCATGCTGATGGTGGCTTTCTGAGTTAGGAGTTTTGGGACTTTTGTGGAGACATCGGCCTCGCGCGGATGACAGCCTGAACGCTGTTGACGGCAAAGGAGGAACTGGGTTGCTCCACGATGGCAGAATCATGCTTAAGATTCTTGAGGCGCTGACACTCGGCCATCAATGTCTGCAGACTGGAGTCTGGGTCCTGCTCAATTTTGGAGAGCGGACGAGCCCTGGTTTCCGCATCACGAGGTGACTACAAGGCGCTCAAAAAGATTAGAGACTTGAATTGATCTCCTGTCATCTCTCGGAACTTGAACCTTTCACACTCTCGGTTGACGATACTGGCGGGTGTAAGAAAATCATCTGTCTCGTTCTTGAGCAGCTTGAGACACTGGTATCGAATGCTGAACAAAGAGGACTTCTCGCTGAACATATCTGACAGGCGTTTGACGGTCTCGTCGAAAGTGAAGTCACGAGGGTTTTTTG